TTTTCTCTCTTTTTTTAACAAATGAAGTGAGTACATCCACGCGCTTTTTAACTCGCCAAAGTATTTTAATTTTTCAATTCTTGTTTTCAAGTTCGATAATTTGGAGTAGAAAAAAAAGTGCATTGTATTCTATATTGGTTTGATACCTTATTATTTTTCGTTTCTTATTATTTATTTTTTAATTAAAAGTATAAATATATTTAACAATTATTTCTGTTTTTTTAATTGAAAATAAAAATAAACATATGTTTATAACTCGTTTTTATTCCTAGTATAACAACCTATAGGATAGAGATAATATAGCAAGTTTTAATTGGATATATGCCATGTTTATATTTATTTTTATTTTTAGTTAAAATAAAAATTAATAGATATAACATGTAGTAAAAAAACAAGGTCAATATCTAATATTCAAAATATATATATATATATATAATACAATTCAGTCTCGAAATCAAATTAAAAACAATAATAATATTTATCTTTCAAATGCTGTCCAATTCAATCTAATTTCGTCTCTCACTCAAAGTCATTCACTTTAAATGATGTCAACTCACATCTAGCTCAACTAGACTATTATGGTCTCGACAAACTTTGTAAATCTTTAACGAATTGATTCATTTCATATAGTTATTGAAGAGGTCATCTGAACAAGTTCTTAACTAGCGATTGAGTACACCATAAGTCCTCGATTCTATTCTTTTTATAACGTGTAAAGAAGTGGAAAACAAATCTCATCTCACCAATATAATTGTTTGAATTTTGACACTCAAACTCATTTTAAATGTTGGAACTAGAAGAGGATTTAGATGAAAATGATTGTAACACTTGGAATTACTCTGATGTTTTTTCCAAAGTCCAAGGACAACCAACTCTAATATCCGTGACACATTTTTCCTTTTTCTAGTTACCTTAGTATTCAATTTCTTTCACTAACTTATTTCTATAAAATACATATCTTATTAATTTCTATTTATTTACACATTTTATTGCTAGATTATCTCGCATATACTTATTGAAAAAGCAGTCTCTAGATGTAGACTCTTAGGTAATTGTAAATGTCAACATAATAGATAATATATTTCATAAAAATTTCAAGCATATTAATTAAATATCATATGCAGTGAAAATATAAACAAAAATAATTTAGAGTATTAAAGAAAACTCTTCAAAACAATTCAATAATACAGGTCCACTTGAAATTTGATGCAGTTTCTGTGAGTAGGCCAGCTTATAATTATAGCATATAAAGGCTCCATGATGAAAGGTAGGGGGATCCATCCAAATTATAGTCTTTATGATATCCATTCTCAAGGAAATAAAATAATAAAATAATAAAAATATTTTTTTTTAGTTTATTATTTTTGTTTAATGGAGTTTTGTTTGGTTGATTTGGTTTCTAATTTTTAAAAAATCCATTTTAGTCCCGTAGTTTTAATAGGTAATTAGGTGGCTATTTCAGTCAATTTATTTCTATTGTATCTCATTAGCATGACATTTGAATTAATAAATTTCTTGAAATATAAACATACATTTGTATTAAAGGGTTTCATTTTATATAAATTTTGTTTTATTATTTTTAAAAAATAGAACAACCAAAACAAAAATTATGAAAATATAAAGAATAAAATGAACCGAAGTTGAAATTATAGAAGCCAAAATGAACGTTTTGGAACTACCTGAATCAAAATAAACTAAAGCAAAAAGTACGATTATTAAAATAGTATTAAAATTTTTAATCATGACAGGCCAATTAATAATTTTCTCCTTATGTACTAAAAAAATAAAAATTATCCTCCTATTATGTCTCTAGCATACAAGCTATTCATTGCTTTAATTTTCCTCTCCATTTATTTTTATCTACCTCTCTAATTATGTAATGACATGTCTTTTATAATTTGCATCATTTTTTAAATTATTTAGTTTTGTGATGTGAATAAAAGTGTTAATTTTTTTAATTTTAAATTAATTTTTTTAGTACAACATGTGGACAGATAATCAAACTCACACCGTCAATTACCATTAAGCTATACTCTGACTAATTTTAAATTGTTAAGAATTGTCAATAAATTCAAATAATTTATTTAACTTTCATATACCTTAGTCAAGTGAATCTATTGATAAACAATCTAACTGAACTTAACAACTTCCTCGATAAATAATTTATTAACAAATTAAACTAAAATAAAATTAAAATAAAAGGCCAATATGTCAAAATTAAACGTGGATATTTTTTGGGGGTAAAAACGCCCTGGTGGCCTTTGAAAAAGTCACTTTTAAGTTTGAACTAAAATCACTTTGTCAACTACTTTTGAAATAAACACTAATTAAGTAATTCTTTTAAGGATACTTTCAGCACTTTTCACTGTTTTTAACAATTTCAATATAAAATTAGATTACTCAACTAAACACTGTAAAAAAAAAAGGGAGAAATTGCACAAACTATTCCTTGATGATAGGAGTTATTGCAATTAATCCGAAATTATTTATTTAATTTGTTTGGAATAAATAAACTACCCCTCAACTTAAGCTAATGGAGTTGGGTAAATTTAATTTATATATGGATATCTTAACATAATCAATCCGTCATAACATCATTAGTGATAGATGTCAAATTAGAGTATGCTTTATTAAAAAAAAATTACATAGTATGCCCCTGAATTTAAAGGATCCATACAATCACATCGTTGAATTATAAAATTATTATAATTTAACTCAACTTTGTTTATTTCTATAAAATTTGAAAATCCAAAATCGACCATCAAATTTTTTTTGGTAGGACGGCTGATTCAATTTTTAGAAAATCAATTTAAACATTAATATTTTACTTTCTTCGACTGATATATTCTGGTGTAGAATCGATTTTGCCCACGAAATGAGCTGATTTGACCCACTAAAACCATACCTAAAAATATATTCCAAACTTGGAGCTATGTACTCATTAATATTAGTTAGTTAATTCTCAAAGCGAGCATAGTTCAACAGTAATTGAGAACTATCTTCGATTAAGAGGTTGTGAGTTTAATCCCCACCCTCCCTATCCCATATGTTTATGTAGTTATTAAAATTGATAATATAATTTCAAATTTTATAGAACTAAAAAAAATCAGGATTAAATTATAATAATTTTATAGTTCGAGGTTTGATTGTATCAATTTTTATAGTTTTAATGTGGTTCTGCCATTTTTAATCTATTAGTGTTATAACCGTTGAGTTTAACTGCAACAATTTTATAAGTTTAAAAGAGAGGTGGATCAAATTGAAAATTCATTACTGTGATTATAACAATCACAATTTATATGATCTTGGGGTGGTAGGTACAATTTTTTCTAAAAAATAGGAAGTTATTTTAATGTTCTTGTAAAAGTTATCCACACTTATCTATAATCAGAAGGGCGTGAGTTCAAACCCACCTTGTAATCAAAAGTTGTTCCAAATTTACCATTATACAATGGAAATAAATTTCTATCTCTGGATGTTGGTTCATTGCTGCAGTTGCTTTATTTACATACAAAATAAAGCATCGCCTATCTTGTAAATTTATTTTTATAGTTTACGCTGCACTACAACATGCTATTCACTTTCCTACCCTACATTTTCTCAGTTATTTGTTCACTTTATTAGATAAAAGTATAAAGGTTTAAATAACATTTGGGTTGATTTTGGCATTTTTAGTTTTTATTTATTTTAGCCTATGTAATTTTAAAACGTCCATTTTGATTTATGTATTTAAATTCGAACTTACAATCTTTTTTGGTGGAAATTATACCTTAACCAGTTGATTTTATTCATGAAATTGAACTTTTAATGAGTAATATTTATATTAGTTTGAGTTTGTAATTTTTTTTTACAATAAATTTTTAATAAAAAATTTTTTTTTAGTAGAATGGAAATTCGAAAGCCTCTTAGTTAAAAGGCATGTGCCAATCAGTAAATCTTAACATTTTTTTTCCTTGTTACTTAGAAAAGTATGGCTTCATTTAAAATAATATTTAAAACTTCAACATGTATAATTTGAAATTGTGGGGGAATGAATTACTCTGGTAGGTCCCACCGGTTGACCCATTTCGGTCTCTCTGTGCTTATTAGCCCCGTCGTACAGGGTAGGGAATCTCCTGCTCAAATAAATAAAAACTGATTGTAATATATTTTAGGGTAAAGGGAATAAACCATCCCTACCAATATTGTTATAATTATAGTCTTAAACTTTTATAAGTGAAAAAATTAATCCCGTAAATAAAAAAAAATCCACTCGAATCCATTTCTCATCTCCCTCCATGAACTCTCACTCTTAGCATTCTCCCTATTTCTTTTCAATTCCCCTTTCCCTCTTCGAATACGTGTAAGGTACCCAGGTACAGAATCCCTCACATCTAGCTTCTTCTCCCAACCAAACCTTGAATTATGGGTTTGCAACAATGCCAGCATCGACCTACTCTGACTCTACCAATCCTCCAATTGTCCCATCATCAACCCGGAGTTAAACAGCCGTTCCGATTCGAATTACCAATGGAAACCCCTCGATTGCAAAATCTTCAGAAATCGTTGGAAACCTCTCAATTGCATCCGTAATAAAATTGAATTGACCCCATAAATTTTCAATCTTCAACCCAGCAGGAGAAGAGGGGATGTTGATTGAATTATCTATTTTTTTTTTTAGTATTGAAACCCCTATCATTCACTTAATTTTTCTTTTTAAGCTGAAGGGTTTATTTTTAAAATATTAAAAATTTATGGTTGCAATTTTATAACTCGAGAGTTTAAATTTTACTATTAAAAGTTTAGAAGTTTAATTTTTTTACTTACGAAATTTTAGGATTTTAATTTTTACAGTTAAAAGTTTAGGGGTGTAATTACAACACCACTCCTACTTATACCATATATTTTTTTTTATAACTTCATTTATTAACAAATAATATTTAGGTGTTTATCCTTCATTTTATTTTATTTAAAAAATATGTCCACCTTTTTTAAAGTTATAAGTTTTTGATATCCAATGACTAGTGAGTACATAATTACTATTATTTTTTTTTTAGCATGAGTACATAATTATTATTCTTCATTAGTTCAGTGATATAAAAGAATTATAGATTCGAATATGTATTTCATAATTACAATGTATTACATAATTACTATTATTTTTTTTTTAGCATGAGTACATAATTATTATTCTTCATTAGTTCAGTGATATAAAAGAATTATAGATTCGAATATGTATTTCACAATTACAATGTAGTTTTTTTTTTTTGGGAAAAAAGAGAAGATTATGAGTCAAATTAAATATAGCTCTATGATTCTGTACATGGTAGGAAAACCTATACGAGTGTAAGGAAGTCGAGCAGGTGGTGATCGATTCAGTAATTTGTTTGCTTACTGTATGTTATGGAGCTCAATTTAGGGCTGAAATTGGAAGAGATCTTTCAAAAACAATTTATTTTATTTATCTTGAATTCGACATTTTTCGAGAACAATGCTTGAAAAAGCTCTGTAGAAACATCAATTTTTTTCTCAAGGTTGAAGATTCAATTCACGAACCTATGGTTTATATATTGGTTCAATTTTAGCCCAATTTTAGAATTTTTAATTTTGTCATTGTAATTTTAAAACTTCAAATTAGATTACTCCCTAAATTAATTATGATAAATTGTACTTACCTATTCAAAAAAACTCACTGTATTTGTCATCATGAATATGCTCATCACTTAATTGTCGTACACTTCGAGAAGAAATTTTGATTTCCTATATTCTCAGATTGTTATACTCTCGAGAAGAAAAAAAAACTATTTATATTTCATTATATGTTTTATTCCACTTTCTAAAGTAAAAATTAAAATACAATTAATCAAAAAATAACATTAGGTCAGGATGAGCATAGTTAATGGATAGCTAATGATTAATTGACGCATGTCTCATCTCTAACTCACATGATGTAATAAAAAAAATAAAATTAATAAGAACATTAGTTTACAAAAATATAACTACATGCCAAAAAAAAAAGTATTTTCGCGCATTTACGAAAATACCCCCAAATGACAGAGCACTGAATTGGGCCGAATTGGGATTTTCAAGATCACCGGTACTTCATTCATTACTGTATGACGTATGTGTTTCTGCGGTTACGCATCAGTTGTTGTTGTTCAGAAGAATGAGGGCTGAAGAATAGGCAGCGAAGAAAGAAAGCCAATGTAACGAAGTTTCAGAATGAGCTCCTCCACGATCATCAAGGATATGAAGCGCGATCTTACGAAGAAAAGCAGAGAACTCATAAGGTTTCAGAAAGGCAAGTATCGTAATCGTAACTTCGATCCTCCTCTCCCTCTCTTCGCTTCATCGTTCGACTTGGCCTTCGCAGTCCTGTAATTTCATTCTCATTCCCTCAAATCCGTGCATCTACGGATTCAACGCATTTTCTTGTGAAATTATTAGTCTGAAGATCTGATGTATGAATCGAAATTTCCGGTGTGATGCAATGATCTGCCAGACATTACGAAGCATTACGAAATCAAAGAGAAGTATCTTAAGCAGCTGCGTGGAATCGACTCTGGTCTCCAGGTTGTAACATTTCTTCTCTCAACTATCGCGTTCTTTATACTTCTTGCTTGGTTTATGAGAACTTATAGGTGAATATGAATCTTTCTGAAGGTTTACGTATTTCTTATCAAATCTTTTCGTGTTCTATTCAGCTCATGCCGACATGTTATTTGAGTTGTTTGTGCGATTTTCTTAGGCACCGCTGACCATGGAATTGATGATAAACGGCGAAATCAATTAAATTCCGTTTCGGAACACAATATATTGCGTCTAATTAAAATTTTTGGTTATTTGCCTTCGGTCGAAGCAAGAAGGGAACTGTGGTCGTCGTCTAGTCTTAGACGAGTGTTATATAGCGTCTATACCTTCTATTATTGTTTCTTGCTTACGTTCTTGTTTGACGTAATGCAGGAGTTGGATTTGCTGAAAGAGCATGAAGATGTTTACAAATTAGTTGGTCCTCTTTTTGTGAAGCAGGATCCAGCAGAGCCAAACGCAAATATTGTGATGAAAATTGGATTCATCTCTGCTGAATTGTATGTTTCCATCTCACTTCTTTTCAGTATGCCATGGATTTACATAGTGCTAAATAGTTGTATTGTAGCTCTGATTCACAACTAAATAGTTGTACTGTGGCACCTGACTCTAATTTCAAATAACTTAACTATCAAATATGAGGTCAATAGTGTCTGATTTTAGACCGGATTAATACATGGGATTCGTGATATCTACATCGAACAAGAACTAAAAAATCAAATTAGTTCTTCATAGGTTCTTCCTCTGCTTTTGTGTTGCATTATTTTGCTTTTAATAGTCCGTACAATGTAAAGGCTATTTTTTTTTCACTCTATTTTTGTGGTTAGTTTCCAATTAGGTGAAAGCAGAATTTCAATCTTGAAAACTGTTGTCGAAACTAATTGGTTTGTTAAGACTGGATGACATTCTTATGTAAAGTTTTTGTTAAATGCCCATATCCGAATGTCTTATCTGAAATCTGAGCCGCTGTTATAGTGGAAGAACATAACATCTTCTAGCAATTCAATGCTGCTGCAATTTATAGCAGTAAATAGCATTCATAATTAATATTTTCCTCGGGTAACATTTTTCTGCATGTGAGATATCACTTTCTCTTGCATGTATTATTCTTATCTATCTAACAATTCTCTGAATAATTTTGGTATATCCTGCTTACATTTTACATATTTGGTTTTAACAGCCTATCTTGAGAATTTGGTGTTCTTGAAATGTTCATTTCTAGTTTAGTGGTTTATTCATTGTAGGTTGACTACTGTACTTGGGTGTAGTAGTCGTAGTTGTGAGTATATGCGTTATGTTTGACCCACAAGAATTCTAATTTTTCAATGCAGGAAGCGCCTTGAAGAAATTATCGAAGATTTGGAACAGAAGCAAAATGGCAAAATGGATTTAGTTAGTATTACTTTATCATGCATTTAGACATAGTAATCTACGCCTTCATATAGTTTATTCATTTTATTGGTTGGTATACGATGATTTTGCCGACTTTGAAATTCTTTGAACTCGAATTCTTTCATGATCATAAATTATGTTAAAGAATTGATGAATTGCTTTATCTTTTTTTTTTTTTCTCTTTTTTGTTTGAAGAAATTAGTATCTCACAAGTTCCTCGATTTGATATTTAAACTAATATCCAAGTGATATGAATTGGCAGATTTCAAAGGTAGAACATAGGCTTGAATCTCTCCAGGATTGGCAGGAAGAGGCAGGGTATGTCCCCCTTTTCACTCTCAAATGAGGTTTCAGAATTCTTTGTTCCAAAATACGTGCCATCTCTAGACTCTAGTCACTTCTTATTAGCCAATATTATTTGGGTTCAACAAAGAAAGGTAGATATTAAAAACATATAGGAATTACATAATACTTCGTCCACTAAATGAACCGAAATTTTTGTTTCGCAGTTTTGATTTTGATCAATGCAGACATTTTGGAAACTTATAATTGCACACTATTTTAGGAGCTTTCATAGATTCTGCCCGATAAATGATTTGCAATGCTTTAACTTGGTAAGTTATAAAGATTATGGTTCACAAATCTTTTATCACAAATTTTTGGTAAGTTGTAAAGTTCCATTTGGTCATTGAATTTAAAATTTTACATTTTGGGCCCAAGGTATCAAAATGGAGCATTAGTGTAACTTGGGGGATGAAAACAAAATGGTTTCATGACTGTGAATTAAATATTTAGATCTAATTTTTTTTATACGAGTAGAAATATACATTTCAAATTCAGGTTACAAAAAATGCACTATGAAAAACTTCATGCAAAATAATTACATTCAATTAGTTAATAATTTTGTTACTTATTGAAAATAGTTTGAATAACTTGTGTTGAGTCATTTTAAATATCATGTTTTCCTCCTTTTGGCTTTTATTATCCACGTCATACCCCAACCAGAAGGCTTTCATTCTATAAAACCCAAATTATATAATATTAAAATTATTTATTTAAAGTAATATATAAAAGATTCATAGAGGGAATTCATTTTTCCACCTATGCATTCAACCGATTTCAGAATTACTGGTATTATTATAATATTTTTCCTAAATAAAAGATAATTCAAATTATTCTTTGGAATAGCCGATTGGTTTCAGATAAGACCACCGATTAACACAATAGACATTAATCTATTATAAGAAAACTAGAAAGCTAGTGACAATGTGCGAATATGATCATAATCCAAAATTTTTGTGTAAGCTCGACCATGATGCACTATTCAAGAAAGCAAAAACCATGTATTAAAAACTAATAATTCCGCTAAAAGGGCGAATTATCCAGAAACCTCATATTTATCGTCGAGTGAATTGGCAAGTTATCGCGTCATTTCACCGCGACACTGGCCGACGGCCGAAGAGGCTTCCACAATCATATGGCCAAAGTTTAATTTAGGATCCGCTGCAAACATAATTTTCATAAAATAATAATTAAAACAGTCATTATAAACATAACAAAAATTATAACATACGATTAAAAATATAATTAATCAATGTCAAGGTTAATTATTGATTTATACAAATCAATCAATATCACAAAATACGATATTTTAGTTCCAAATGTTTGGGCAATTTATTTCAATTGAATCTCTAATGTTTAAAAACTTTCAATTTAGTTTCTTATGTTCTCACATTTTTAAATTAGGTACCTTTCCAATGGATGAATGTCAAAATTGGTTAGGAATTAGACTACTTGAGAGAAAGAATGAAATTTGGAAGAAAATTTAAAAGCTTAATTCTTGCTCTAAATTTATGCCAATTTAATAAATATCATATCATACAACGTCGGACAATTTTGACATTCATCAAGAAAAATGGTATGATTAGAAAATATTAAAATATAATGGACAAACTTTTCAAAGGGATTAATTAAAAAAACATCTAAACATTAGAGACTAAAACATATATTTGACGTCAAAATTAACAAATTAAAAAAGTATTATATTTGCAATTATTTTTACTTTTTACAACAATATGATTTAAAAAATAAAAATAATAATAAAACTACAAATTAAAAACTTCACTTACCTTTCGCCAAACACGATTTTGGTATCATTTTATCTGACTAATGCCTTCAATTGGTAGAGGATGTGCTTCAGTATTGAACACATATTTGTTCAATGGCATCGTTGAGCTGTCCCCAAATAGCAAGTATAAATACTTGAGAGTTTCCCCCAAAAAGAATGTCTCCATTTTGTCCCTCCTTCGCGGAGGAACTGTAGTAACATCATCTAGCGATGTATATCCACCACTATTAACCTTCGTGTGCTTCTCAAACGCTTCGAAAATCTTCCAACCCCATGCACGGTACCTGCGATACATTCACGTAAATCATATATAACTCGGTTAATGAACGATACAGGAAGTATAGTTAATATGGAAGGCATACTTTGGGTTGCCTGTGATACGATACAGAACGAACAGCGACTCGACTGTTTCGGGCCGCAAAAGATTGTGGCGATCGAGTGGCTTGATTATTATGTCATTGACATACTTCGAGTTCTTATTTCCACCATCAGAATTTTCTTCAGAAAAGTCCTGGACAAATGATGAGCCCAGTGTCTCAGATTAATGGGCAGCATGAGCAAATGGGAAAAAGAAAGACGAGGTCATAAATCATAGAGCCAACCTCAGTACGAAAATAAACTATTTCTGGGGCAAGACCGGTGGAGGTTACTTCATACATCTCATAGCAAGTTTTTGCCAGATCCTCTGCCAGATTTAGATTTTCCAGATCTTCAAAGCTCAGCAAGCTTTTATTCATAGCTTCTTCCTTGCTGATGCCCTTTGTAGCACCGAGAGCAAGAGTACCGGATAAGAAACATACCTGAAACAGGCACAAGCTTGTTAGTCAAATATTTTACGTCGCATTGCTTTACAATAATGTAGATATTCCTTGGAAAGCAAATATGCAGGCTGTGAGCTTGTGAATTAATTAGTCTTGAAATGGAATCACATTACATTATCGTAGAAAATATGCAGGCTTAGTTAACTCATCGAAGAAATAGTTACCTGAGTCCAAACATTAGAATGCGAACAGGTGGAATACGAACTGACGGTTCTTTTTATTTTTCTTTAAAAAATCTTTTTCCCATACATTCCTTCTACCACTATTTGTTTGTTTTTTTTTACCCTGCACCACTTCATGGTTATTACCAAACAAGCTGTCTCCAAAAGCTAATTTATGAGGCGAGAATTTCCTTAACACTTAACCAATATCCAACCCCTTCATGGACAAACTCGACAATCCCCTCTCACATTATCAAACTTTCAGTTGGATCTCACAATCTCACCATTAACTTGAGTTCCCCTGGGTTTTTGCATAGAGTTTCTGTAGTCTGAGCGCTTATGGCACTTGTTTGTGTCAAATGGGGGTTGGAGGTTCTCACCCAAAAGCTAACTTAAGAGGTGAAACTTTTCCTCAGTACTTGTAAACTGACGCATCCTTTTTTGCACAATTGATGTCAGATAACCTGATTTACTCCCGCATTGTATTTATTCAAAAAGATATTTATATTGGCAATGGCATTTGAATTCCACTACTTTCTTATACATCATTGCCAAGTGATTTTTCTTTTTTTATTTCCTGTTGGAGAATACAACTATGTTATACCAGTAGACGGGGCAGACATGACAATCAAAAGAATGAGCCAAAACCGAACAAGCAAGGCCAAAGCCAAATTCCGACCTAAGAAGGATGCTTGCGGGAGAGTTTCGAGCTTCGAGTTTCCTAGTAACAGGACAGTCATGTTCAATCAAATTGCTATCAAATGCCATAGTTCAATAGTTAGATTAAATAGATAAAACCAAAAGAGACTCTAAAGCTTAAAACTTGTCTCTAGAAGCAGATGGAGCGGCCTATTGTACTCCCTTGCCATAGGGGCAGCAGGGAAAGAAGTTTGTATAATGTCCCTGAGGAGGTGAATCTATGCTCTAGACATTTCCCAACATCCCAAATCTATTACATAATCACAACAATTATTGCACATGGAGTAATAGATAACAGTCAACAAGATAAAGAAACTATTTCCATTGATATATTACAAGAAATATTGATCCAGAGGGTGAATGAAAGATGTGTTTATGCCTTATACCATGTCAACAATCATATATAGCTCATCCTATATCATATATGCCAAATTATATTTCAAAACTTGAAATCATCTACGAATTAATATGCAGCAAAATCAATCCAACTCCTACATGTGCGGACAATCTACCAAATTATTTCCTAGTTTGAGCCATGTTCCTTGACCATAACATAAGCCAGTCTACAAGATAAGTGGATATTAGATACAAGAGGAAATAATGCATACCAGGTGATCCATTTTTGGGCTCAAAGCATCATTTGATCCATAAGGCAATTCTCCAACAAAAACCAATCCATTCGGAACTGACTTCCGAACAAGAAGATGCCTAACACCTTTCATGGCTTCTTCATACATATCATGTAGATAAGTGACATTATTGTCTTCTCTTGCTCCCTTCTGAAGCCACACTTTCAGAAGATACTCATAGTAGCTATCACCACGGGATCCCAGTCTTATGGTTTCTCCACTAAATTCACCAGAATAAGGGCTGCATTTGAGAAGAAAATAACATAAGAATAAGTAAAACTAGTCATCATCGGTATTTTCTCCAAACTAAATGAACCTTTCAAGAACTAAAAAGCACACAGAGATTTAGAATGCGGAAGAAACCACATTCTACATGTCGTAAACAACAGAACTGATGGTGTTTTCAACTTCCAAAACTCAAAAATCAAATGTGAAATACAAAGTGAAGCTTTTCAGGATTAGTGCTCGAAAAGGACAAACAGCCACGAAACCAGAAGTACCCCAAAAAAACAAAAAAACCGATACAAGCATAACCATTTGTGATTATTTCATATATCTTTGACCTATGGAATTTAACTTCCACTGTTGACTGCAGAAGAATGACATCTCATGATTCAAAAGAGAATTTTGCCAACGTGCCAAAAGGTTCAAGAGAAGCAATATCTGAGACCCTGAGAAGCATGGACATAACACTACATGATGAGACATCAAATTTTTAAAAGACTAAAAATCTAGCATATTGTGATGAAAGTAGATCGTACGATCGTCGTTGATGGTATGAAATTCATTACTGTCATCTAATATCTTTTTTCTGATATGTCTATAGATCAGAACAAAAAAAAAATTATAAAAAGTTGAACACATATGTTGGACACAGACATATTGCCTAAACTAAAGTAACCATTCTTATAGCTAAATATAAAAGCTCCATACCTAATATAGATGGGAACCAAACCTTCCACTTTTGGAAGGCTCTTCATGTGTTCCAAGACCTTCATAGCAGCAATTGAATACTTTGGGTCGCCGGAAACAGTACTAAGATAATTAAACTCCAGCTGCAAAGTGGAAACTTCGGATGTACTACTTACTCCACCAGGTGCTGCATGAGCCGAGGAATCTTTTAAAACAACATCACTGAGAGGAATAGTGGTTGGACTTGAGGTAAAGGCACTAAGCAAACGATCAGCCAAGTTCCTAGCAATTTCTAGATAAACATCTGGTTTAGGCCCTTCATTTTCAAAGGTCTTCCCAAATTCTCCAGCTCTCAAGTGGTATGCACTTAAAAGACCACCTAAAACACGTATGGTAGTTTCAAATAAATTGACTTGACCTTTCTCATTAATTCTATCCAAAAGGTGTTTTTCAACCCACGAGCCTGCTTCAGAGACAATTTCACTATCACCCATAATCATGGCAGTGTCAAGGGCATCCACAACCGTAGCACCTAGACCTCCTAACCCATCAGTTCCTTGCTGGCTCAGTGGCATGAGTTCGTCATGCCCCATTGCATATCTCTTATAGCCGGACCATGCATGGATAAAAGCATCCTTAACTTTCTGTTGCCTTGAAATCCATAACGACTCAGAGATTAATAGATTTGGATCAATGTTGTAGCTAGTGTTGCTACCTTTTTCGTCTGGTGGTAATCGAGGGGGAAGTCTTGGAGCTCTCCTCCATAAGTTCCTGAAGCTGATGCCACCGCTATTAATAAACTCTCCTTTCTCATTATTCTCACTGACTTTGGCTAGTCGATGGGGAGCAGAATGGACAGGAGTTGTACTTGTCAATAAAAGATATGCTAAGCCAAAGATCAACAGTAATACCAGAAACTTCCCCGTACTGCAACTTAGATAATCACGTTTTGCGCTACCAGTGCGTAAATTCTGAGTCATCACCTGAGAAAACAAGATGATATTGTTAAGACATAACTCAAAACAAACAATGGTAACCCATATCAAGTTACTATAGGCTGGTACTTAAATTAAAATGAAAGATTCTGAAACATTTAGTCTGTAACCAATAAGAATTTATTCTAATAATCAGAATTCCTTTTTAATAAGATCTAATGATCAGAGTTTTGTACTGCCATAATATAAATCTTCATGTATCTAGGATATGACATGATAAATAGAAAAATAAATGATTGGGTCACTATATTCAGTATAAAAAACTGTATATAATTCCCAGGGTTACTAATAACAATGATCTCACAACAACCCGAGATGAGTATTTTAGAGATAAAGTTACATGTCTCACGTGTCAGGTTCAACGCAGCAGGTAAGGGCGAATTTGGAGGAAACAATTTCTAGTCACTAAATGTCATACTCCAGTGTCTATTTCAGGCATGTCAAAAAAAAAACGTAAACTTATTCTTCCTTGAAAATTCTGGAATACACTTTTAGTTTAGCTCTCTTCTCTGTTTTTTCATCGTTTTTGGGCAGTCATCCAAAAATACTGGAAAGTCAGAAATTTATCGTATTCCTATGTTTAGCTCTATTACATCACTACTTTAGAGTCCCTTAATGATAAGCAGACTAAAAAAGAAGACTGGCCTTTTTTTTTTAATAGCCAGGAGTCGGAGCTTTACTCCCCTGTGCCTAGGGAACCCGCGCCTGCCTCAAAGTCCGGACCCTAGGAGACATCAAGAGTTTTTTTTTTTTTTTTTTGGTATAACCGACTACCTACAATACGTTAACGTACTATAATTGCACATCAATAAGAAAACACCTAACATCCATCATGCTGAAGATAAAAGTTTAGTCACAACTACCAAGCATAGAATCTAAACTGGCAATGTTCATGATTATTTCGCAAAACACAAACATCCTCAGTCTTGCATTTCTACGATTACTTCGCTAATTATGAATACATCACCCCCTGGTCACCTCCATTCCAGAACCAACGTCACAGTCTTAAACAAAGTAAATGGCCTTAGCAAGTATAATTGCACATCAAAAGCCTAAAATCCTTCCAGGTACAATCAAAGTTTAAGAAATACTGATTGCTAAAATGTAATTGTCAATTCATCCAAACATCAACCATCGAAAACTATACCATCGTCAAGGGAAAAAAAAGTTTGCACACACGTAATGCACGATAAGAAATCAGATTCCACCAAATCGAAATGGTGCAATAAGTCAAGATCTAGCATAGACAGACCTTGAAGTATGGTCTCTGTCGAAATTTAGCATTGTCGTAATGGACATCCTTGACAGAGTAGGGTAGAGAACTCGACATATTCAAATGGATCACGACCTAGGGCAACGTACGGCTGGCCTCCTCTCCGCTCCGCTCGGAGGCGTGAGAGCAGAGAGAGAGACGCGGAGATTCGAGAATGGAAACGGATTGCTACTTCGCTTCTTGCATCGTCCGATCGACGATAATCGGTAGAGATGGCGGAAAATTTTTGAGCGGGAAATTGATTGGCGGCAATTCAACGAATGGATTGATACAGAAGAAGCAGCGATGGTATACGGGTCATAGACAAACAGAAATGAAGAGAAGAAGGTGAAAGAAAGAACAGCGAAATTGGAAACTCGGAACCGAATAATTATAAATTAATTAATTAATTAAATATTAAATATTTATTGTATAGCCAGCCACGAAGACTTCGGCAAACATGACAATTGACAATTTTGATACAAGTAGAAAATGAGAACTGGGATTTCTTTTTTGTTTTTTATTATTTTTTGTTTTTTTAATTTTGCCAATAAAAAAAACATATTGACTAGTAAGTGAAGAAAATAACAGAAATTTTATTAAATGACATAGTAAAATAAATACTCTTTCAATAGGTACTAAAAATTTTATTTTATTATGTTATAACTTTTATATATTTACAAGGTTAATTAATGGGTAATTCTTTAAATATATATTATAAGAAATAGTGGCTACATTAACATAATTCAGCCAGTCAACGCACATTTTACAAAGATTCGAAGTTAAAATTGTCATCCCCGTAAAAACTAAAAAAAATAAAGATAAAAGAAAAACAAAAACAATACTTACCTGTAGTAATATTTCTAATCATTAAAGAGCACTATTTTTGTTCACCACCACCAAATTTTACAAATAGGGAAGAAAAAAAAGAAGAAGAAGACCACTTTTTGTTTTTCAACAAAATTAAAATGCTATCAAAATTTTGTTGAGATGCGTGCTTATATTGTTTGTGAATTAGAACTTGACACCTATTGCTAAAAAGAGAGAAAATGTCTCTTTTATATTTCATTTTATACATTTTTCTATTTACAACCGGTAATCAGTAGAAACATCCATACCAAGATGTCAAGGGGCAAGTATTATTATTGTATAGAAATAGGTTCATAACATTGTGGCAGCCTATTTAATGATTTTTTTTGCACTCTGTTTTCTCTCACAATTTTCTCCCTCTTATATCCTCTCTCTGTAATGAGAAAATTAGCAAAAATCTCATTCAAGTGATCAAAATTCAAATGGGTTTAAAGAATGGATCCAAAATCAAAATCCTTCTTCTCTTCCTTCTCCTAATCCCCTCCTCGCCCGCCACGGCCCTCCGCCGCTCCAGCCTCCCCGCCGCCGCCCCTCGCCGGACCCTCCACGGCGGCGCCCCCACCGCCCCGCTCTCCCCAAACAGCCAAACCATTCCAACAACGGAGAAGAAGAGGAAAATCAGGGCCGGGTTCAAACGGCGTCGTAATAGCAACAACAAGCCAAAGCCAACGCCAACGCCAACGGCCTTCTCTGTGATGCTTCCCAAGGGCTTCGTCCCGCCCTCTGGCCGTTCGTCTCCTTGCCACAACGAAATTCCACAATCTCTCGCTTTCTACTGCCATCTCTCTGCCTCCACAAATAATCCTTGATTTGATTTTCCTCTCACATTGATCAGGTGCATGCCTTTAATTTCTGTTGTAAATCTTACTCTTTCTTCAACAAATTAAAACAGTAATTGGTCGATCTTCTGATAAATATATAGAGAGGAAAAGAAAACAATTATTCCACTTCTTTATTGATTCTTGTATATCGTTTGGTAATTTAGAATCTTTCGTTCTTTTAATTTGTTTCTTGAATCCACGCAGCTTTTCAAAAATTTTAAAAATATCTAATAATTTAATGCGTCAACATATTTTTTTTTTAGAATTTAGAGATCAATTAGTAGACTAAAATCGAAAATTTGCCGACTAGATTTGTATTAATTAAAAGAAAAATACTGTTTATGTAAAACTAGCGGGATATTGCTTTTCTCACCTGGAGAACCAGAAAGAGAGCGTTGATCTACTGGAAAACGACGTCGTTTTGACTTATTTTATTTTATTTTTTGGTTTCTTGAAGATGCATTGATGGGTTGCATATTAGAAGACAAGAATAATAAATAAATGATTTTGGACAAAGTTTATAGGGAAAAATGAGATGTCTGTGCGAGCATAATTTGTTTGCTTTCTATGTAGGAAATTTAAAATTAAAAAAAAATGTGTATATTTTAGAGAGAGAAAAAATAATAATAATTAAGTAGGCATGTGAAATTGCTTGGATTATTGGAATTTGATTTTCGTAGCGTGCACTTCATGCATGTAATGGAATTGGCCTTTTTCGAGATGTACGTTCATAGACTACACACACATCCAAGAAATTTACACTACAAATTATGTATTCTTCTACTTCTATTCTATACTATATTAATTCTAATATTTCATTTAAGTCACAAATTTCAGTTTAATTCGATTTTAATTTAGTGCACTCTAAACTTTTGAATCTAATGCTATCATTTTGATCTTTCTGTCGAACTAGAAAATAACTGCCTCTTATGTATTACAACATGTATTTTTAATATTTCAAAAAAAAACATGTATTTTTAAATTCTAAGACTATATTTGATCATGATTTTGTGTGTTGTTTTTTGAAATTTTAGTTACCAACTGGAAATCATGTTTTTAGTTTTTTTCAATTCAATGGGGAGGTATTCACGATGATTCATTTTAGTTTTAAAATATTAATATATATATATATATATATATATATATATATATATATTTTATGTTAATAAAAGTAGTGCAACAAAGACAACGTGAAGGAAGCAATTTTCAACTATTCTAGTGAAGATTTTTTGTTTGAAAATTTAGCGTGACATCATGTAAACTTATATTAGTCTAAATCAAAATTTAATATGAAATTATAGAAAATAACCTCACTAACCATAATATTTACACCAGTGTCTTTCAAGTTAAATTTATGTATTTTATTTATATTAGATATAGTATAAAGTTTTAACCACGACGACCAAACCCAAACATAATTTTTTAAATGTCAAGTCGGGTGTGGGTGTGGGTGTGCTGATTTGGCACATTATTATTATTATTTTAAGGAAAACCAAATCTGTTGACAAAAATCAATTCAACCTAACCACCAAATGTCAAACATTACACAAAATTTATATCTAAATCAAACTATGACAACTTTTTATTTGTTATTTTATGAATACAGAAACAATCTGGACACAAAAAAGGTTGGTCCTTTGCTAGGCTGCTGCTAGCCCAGTTTCAGCAAGATTATGGGCCTGCCTGCCCGCCCGCCCAGTGCTCACCACTCCCTCTATACCAATATTCACACACCAAGAAAATCATGTCCAAAATAATACACTCCATATTAAAACAACAGATCAATTATCAGCTCTTTTGGCAGAATCATGCCACAAATCATACCAAGACACCAAAAAAAAGTTGGGAAAAAACACCATATTGAGTTTGGATATTCTATTCCATGAGTTGCTGTCAGTCACTGTTCATCCCAGCGTTTCCCACCACACAATAAGAACAGAACATGCCACAAGCCTACCAGTGAGAATAGTTCGAGAGCAAGCTTTGATTAACTTCTACTTAATGCTAATAAACTTTTTTTTTTCTTCTCAGGGAATGAGAGATATGAATTGCTTTTCAAATGATATTTCCTCCACAAACAGGCAAGGAATTTCACCACTTTCGTTCAAAGTTTTTGGGCTCTTGAATCTCAGGACTACAGGGTTTCATTTGAATAGCCACAATTGAGGATGCCCTTTCAAGGCTCAACGCTAACATTCATTATTCAACAAGATTACTACAGAACAGAACAGAACAGAACTGTGCAATTTTCACTTGACCAAATCCAGGAGATGACAGTCAACAACACAAGGGTCAAATCAGGTGAAATTGGATTAGCAATTGTATATTTCTCAACGGAATGTATGGAGTTTGCAATTGAAGATTAATTCAGAAATTAATTCAGAGAGTAATTCCTACTTCTAGAATGATAACATTTGTAATTTCATTTTCGTCCAACCGAATTCAGATGATTTGAGCTAAAATAAGCAGGAGATTTGTGCCCTAATTTTAAGTCAACTTATTCCCTAACCATCATACGATCATCAAATTATTCATTTCCTATGCATTTATACCCGAATTGACTCGAAATTTCGTAGAATTCACCGAACCTTTCGTCCAATCTCAGAGGATCTTCACCTTTTCTGATCGTTATCTTCTTGAAGCTGAAAAGCAGAGACCGGGAAGGACTTGGAAATCCCACTCGGAGTACCGAACGTGATTCTACTCGTGTTCTGTTCATCAATAAAAATATCGGAGACGGTGATCGAAAGAATAAACTCCTTGGTCTTAACTCCGGTGAGGCGGCGGAGGCGGCGGTCCTCGATGAAGGCGGTGACCTCGGTGTCGTACAAGACGGTGCGTCCGATGGCGGCGAACCGGTGCTCCTTTTTCTTCTTCTGCTTGAGCCAGATGAAGCCGGAGCTCCGATTGCAGCCGACCTCGATGATGTCGTTTAAGGGGAGGAGGCCACGGGGAAGAAAGAATTGATCGAGTAGCTCTTGAGATTTTTGCTTGCAGAAAGCGTCGCCATGGTAGATCTCGGCTTCTGCTTTGTGAGTCAGTTGCATCGCCATTCTCTTCTATGGAATGGCGTCTCGATTGGATTTAGTCATTTGCGTTTTCCGATCGAGGGTTTTTATATACACTCCACTTTGGGTAGCAAACGCAATTATGTTTTCTTCGGGGGCGAATTCATAAATTTGAACTTTTTATAAGTAAACGAGAATCTAACCTTTTTATTTTTATTTTTTTGGTATTTCTTTTCTTCTCAATGAGAATCTAACTCTTGTTACATTATAAAGGTAGAAAAATAATCACATTTGAGATGCTCATGTTTGATAATTTGAATTAGGCTAATCCCAACTAATCATTTTTTTTAGTACAATAAATGGGAGAAATTGTAAAAAAAGACGTCAGTCTACCCCTATGAAAAAAGTCAGGAGCAAGTAAGTTCACTCCAATAGAATTATACTCTTTCGGAGCCTGTTTGAGACATAGTACAGCGGGTATACAAATCATCTCTTGGATATTCAATTGAATCATAATTGTAGTGTCCACCTGGATGAAGTCAACAACTTTTGTGCAATCTTATGACCTTTTGATGAGAGGCAAGTGCCAATTACTTATGTGCTAAGCTTAGGTTGGCAACAACAACTAAACTCTGATTGTGTTTCCTGATAATTGTTGTATTCTTTTACAATATATAGGATGAAATTATTAATGTTAATTTGGGTCTAATGAAAGAATTAATTAAATACCTATAATTGGATAGCTATCTTTATAAAGAAGATTAAGAAAATAGAGTATATAGTCAAAGTTGCAATAAAGTAATTGGTTAGGTATCATTTATGCAATAAATTGAAAAACTATGCTTTTTTGCAGGAAAAAAAATCAAAATATAACAATTAAGTAATAGAAAATGACTACTTTCAATACATAAAGTTTTGGATTCGAGAAAAATCCGATTAAGATAGAAGAGAACATATTGCTTAAAAGCTCGAATAGAATGAATAGTGAGAAAGACATTTAAAAATTTCATCTTCTATTAGTTGGACAGGACGTCTAGTACTCTCATATTTATTTATTTTTAATATTTTTCAAATAAATTATAAAAGACAAATTACATTGAGACCTCATTATAATTATGATTATGATTAAACTATTGCAACAAAATTTCCCCTTCATATGCTAAAGTACGAACATATTTGTGATTGAATATTCTAATGAAAAGAAGTTAAATATTTTTATACAAAAATTTATACTCTCTAGAATTATAAATATACATATCTAAATAACATAAGATAATCTAGTTCAAAAATCTCAATTTTCTAACCCTTTGCTACCCTCAAACTACAAACTTTGTGTTGCTCCTTGAGAAAGATAAATTGCTTTTTTTTTTTTTAACAAATGCATTTAAATTAGAAGTCAATTTGGACTTACAATTTAATTTTATTAAATTGAACTTTAGATTTAAATAATCAATGAAATTATCTTTCAGTAGTTAAAGTTCAATTTTTAAAAGATATATATTGGTGTGAGTATATTGACAAACCTCCCTTTTGTGTATTACGTATTTAAAAAAGAGAGATAGATCAATCCATATAGGTATGTATTTAAATATAGAAATTCGTAATTATCAATTATGTGTAGATGAAGGAAGAAAAAAGTATATTGAAATTTTAATCTTTAATTTTAAGTTAATATAATTAAATATTTATATTTTTTGTCAAACCATAATATAGATTATAGATTATAGATACCTATTTTATATTCATAAACTCGAGACTCGTTATTGCAGATACCTAGTTCATATTCATAAAGTCGAGACTCATTATGCACTCTAAGTACAAAGACATTTGAATTCCAACCATCCTATTTCTTCAGCTTAGACATAATATTTTTGACCCCAACCCCACGTACGTTTTAGTGCTTCTAATTTTTAAGCTTTAATTGTTGCCAAACACTCCTATTAAATAGAATACCATAACATAGACACCTTTTAAGCCTTTTATAAACTATTGGAAAAGAAAAATTAAAAACGACTTAAAAAATAACGCAGTTTAAAATTATGAAACTCCTATACCTATTTTCATTTTATTTAAAAACATTTACATTAAAAAGAATGTTCAAATTTTCCAGACGGCGTCGTAAGAACCAGAAAGAGTAGATAAACCGTCTGACCTGACCTTTGTGTCTGTCTGGGAAGAAGAAACACGTGGCAGAGGAAAGGGACAAAAAGGTAAAAATCAGGAAGCGTCGCCCCACATTTGGAGAAGATATTTCTGGCACTTGCTGCAGCAGGTGCCATTGACGTACAACAAATCAGGGCCGGCCCTTTTGGTACGTTTGGGCTTGGAGATGTGGGGGCCCAGTTGAGGCCCACCATATCCTTTCTTTTTGAGATTGTGCCTATATTCCAAAGCAACTTGCTCGAAAACTTCAACTTCAAACATGTTGATTTTGATGGGTGGGGTGAGATGGTCCCTCACAAATGCAAACGCCAACTGGTCTCTTGGATTGAAAGCTTCCAACTCGTTGAACAGAAGGCAAGAGAATAAGTTGCTTTCCCTGCTATGTTTCCTCAAGATAAATGCACTATCTGGTACATCTGTAAAATTTTCAATTTTTTTTCCTTTTGGATCAGTCAAAATTAAATATTCGGATTAAATAATCACCTATTAGAAAAAAAAGTCATTTTTGTGTTTTATTTTGGTTAAAAGTCACTTTTGGTAAGTAACGACATGATCCCTAAAGTTTAGATTGTAATGATGTAATACATAGAATTTTAAATTTGTAATAATTTAGTCTTTGAACTTAAGTATATAATAATATAGTCTTTGTAACTTAAAATTTGTAGTAATTTAGTCTCTAGAGTGAGAATTGTTAATGTTTAATGTAGTTTCTTACGTATATATATGTGTGTGTGGATCAATAAAATAACGAGATCCGTAAAAACTAAATCGTTACTCAATTTTGATGAGATTTTTTACGGTAGTGACTAATATTTTACAAATTTTAAACTATAGACTAAATTATAACATACTAAATTCAATGACAATATTATTATCAATTATAAGGACTAAATCATGAGAAACTAAAAATTAAAGGACTAAATCAACACATCAAAACTATATCCTCAACCAGAAATTTTTGAGAATTGGATTTCAAAGATGTTTTTCAAAATATAGAAAATAGATGAATATAACCAGAGATAAGCAAACTTTATCTTCAAAAATATAATAACATTATCAAATGGTAAACTAATTTGTTGTACTTAAAAAAATAACTAAAATATGTTAATCCAGCCCCAATTGTTATATTGAAAAAAACTAAACTAGTGATTCAAACAAATGAGCCTTGAACTAGTTCGTGCTCAATTTATTAGTAATATATTTTGTATCATATGCTATTAATAAACTAAGGAAAACGGTTAGAGAGGGAAAGAGAAAAATTAGGTTTTTTCCCCACTCGAAACTAGAAACCCTGTGTTGACTACATATATAATAAAATTTTGGAAGATTGAGGTTTGAGGATTTCTAAAGTAATATAAAGAGTTGAGCTTCCACTAGTTGCAGAATTAAACAAAACAAAAGTAATTTAAAAAAAGGAAAAAAAACAGTAGATAGATTAGATATTTCAAGGATTCCATGTGTGCCTCACAGAGAAGAGAGACCAAATATTCTGATCTTAGAAGATTATATGCTTCAATTCCCCTTTAACTTTAATTTCTAAACCAAACCCACAGTTCATTTTAAATAAAAAGCAATCTTCCTTCTCTCCCTCTATATAAAAAGGAACTGATGACGAACTTTAGCCCAAATTAACTACAATAAATTAGGCGAGTCCCACCTAGTACAAACATCTAGCTATTTCTCCCTAGTTAAAAACTTAAAAACTTAAATTTAATCTTCTGAGTATTATAATATTAATTAAGTCTTTGTATTGTACTTCTTTTATTTAATCCATATATTGTAGAGACTATTGATGAATATGTTAACATAACATATTCATTATATTATATCTTCCTAGCTATCTGTCACATCATGTCAACTCAAATATAATTTATTGAATAGATATGACACATCAGTGTTCTACTAATAATGTTGATGACAAAGTTAAATGAAGCATAATTCAAAGTTCTAACCACCTAATATAAACTAATAGACATCATAATTAGGCCAAAGTTTCTATTCTACCAGTATTTTTAGTGATATTTCTTACTTTGGGAGTTTCAATTACAAATTCATTTATGATTTGTAGATATGATTTGTCAGGGAAAAATCTTGGATCATAAGCAAGAAAGCCGTGAGAAGTGGCATGATATGCATGAGACGTGACTCCCAAGGCTTAACTAAAACCACACAAAAAGCCAAAGCCAAAGCCAAAAAGGCATGGCCATTGAAATGATTTTGGGAGGCTTTTGACCTAACCAAATTTATTTCCAAGATCAAGATGGTATTTTATGCTCCACAACAAAATGAAAGTGGACAAATTTACGCTAAAAAAAAAGGAAAGAAAAGGAAGGTTTCAGTTGGAATCTTTCTATGCCTTCTTTTGTCCATTGTCAGCTCTAGGTGGTTAAAAGGAAAACAAATACAGGCATTGTTTATTTGAACAAAAAAACAAATTTTGGTTTGGTTATAACTATCAAGTGTCATATTTTTTAATATAAAAAAAACTTTAATTTTGTTACTATAATTAACCTATCCAGGCTGGTACGATGTATTCTAAAATGAAACACTTTTTGTCTTTGACAATCATTTAAAAGCAAAATATTAATTAAATGGGTTCTTGAAAATTTTCTTTTACAACACTAGAAAAATGAAATATGTATCTAAATATTATGGAAAATTTTGAAAAGTGTTTTGATTTAGTTAAAAACACCTGTAATATAAACTACTCTAAACATGCTGTAAAAAACCTCCAGATTTTAGAACAAAGTTTTAATAAAAAGAAAAAAACCGTTAGAAAAATTAATTAAACCAGAAACAAAAGAGTTCAAAAAAATATGTTATACAAAAATCCTTAAAAACAATAAGAGAACATGTGACTAACGAATTGAGTTTATAGGGCTGTGAAGTTGAACTTACTTTTGGTACATGAATCTATTTATTTATACGCCCAAGTTTCAGAAGTTTAGGTTTTCATAAATCGGCACATGCATATGCTACTTATTTAAGCCAAACCGAAACTTAATATGACGGTAAAGGGATGTCTCATCTATGAAAGGGAAAATATATAGGTCTAGACCTATTTTGCTCTAACTAGCATTAAATATTTATTAATTAATAGAGAAAAATGAAAATAACACAATTCTTTTAAAAAATAATCAAAGTCAATTTTTCAATAGTCAAAATATAAATATATCCTCATGATTCACTACCTATATATTTTAATTTATGAAGTATATGGTTGATGGGTTAAGAAATTTGAATTTTTGTAATATATAGGGAGATTTCAACCTCATACTCAAAAGGAAAGAGTAAAATGATATTTACAGTTAAATTATGCTCAAGTTAGTTTTACAAAGAAATAGACCACATATGCTAAGAAAATACTTGGATCATGACTAATGAAGATGGTGAGCACCACAAAAAATTTCACAGTTTATTATTTTGTGAGCATAAGATAGGTCTCACTAATCCGACTTAAATATTTTTCCATTTTGACTAATAAGTTATAGAAATTTGAGTTTTTTTTGGTACAACAACCTAGACTTCAACCTTCGGAGATATATAAAAATTTGAGTTGGTGTAATTTATATTTGATTTGTAAGCTTATAATTTGTAAAGGTAATGATGGGATTAATTACGTAGCATAAGTTTTCACTTCTTTAATTTTGGGAAAGTACGAGCCAAACATCTAGGAGAGAAATTACGTGAGGTAAAATTGGAGGAGAAATTACCTGTGGTATAGGGAAGCTTGCGGCGACTCCATGGCTTCAGCCCATTTTCACAGTAAGTTTCCATTTGCATCTTCAAAGAATCAACATCCCACCATTTCTTCCATCTGGCAGTTGCCATGGCCTCTTCCATGGTGTGAATATAATAAGGATGTTTGGAAATGGCCATATCTGCATTTTCAGTCACAATCAGCGTATGAATCAACAACAACGGATCCACCATTAACTGAAGCTTCGCGTCTATCCATATACTGAATTTAGAGTTTGGAAAGAGTCTGTGAACTAAATACTTGGGTATTACGCCATTCATGGCCGGATTTTCGTACAGATTTTTGGTCGAAACTCTCACAATTCTCCAAGCCCCAATTATGTCAGGGGATGAGTTTCTGGAAATTACGTTGTGGCTTTCGAGTCCTCGCACCGTAGTTTCATCCACAAACATGAAGAAACATACGTTCTCCAGAGTTTTCGATCCGAGCCCTCTCGGTTGCCGAATTTTGTCGTGATCGTTGAAAATTGCCGAAACCACAACCACGCCGTCGCATCTTTCCATGGCAATTCGATCTGAGAGAGAGAAAAGGATGATCGCCATCGGTAGAAGAAATCAAAACAGGAACAGAAAAATCATCCGAATTACGTGGTTAAAATTAAACTAACCAGAATCAGCGACGGGAAATTTCTTGAGAAATCCACAAGGAACCGCAACGCTGCTATCGTTGTTGTTTCGATGATCGAAGAAGGAAAACCTGTTGTCGGCAGTGAAATTGCCGCCAAATGTATCGGCATTGGCGAGGAGATACCGCAAATTGGAGGATCGCAGAGAAGAATTCCAGTGCACAACCTGGATCTGATTCAAAACCATCCAATAATCTGAAACAGAAACATAAATGGATATCGAAACAGAAAAACGGAAAGACACAAAAAAAAAAAAGAAAGGAGGGAAAGAAAAGGAAAATGTAATCGATTATGTATGTATGTACCTTGGAAGAAGACAGGGGAGGAGCAAGTGGAGCGGACGGTGGGAAGGGCGTACTTGTGCTCGCCATAGGAGGAGGGGTAGGAGAAGAGAGGGAACTGGATTGGATCGAAGGGGGAGGATCGGAAGAGGCATTTGGTGGAGGAGAGAGATGTGTAGAGAGCCAGAAATATGGAGGAGAAGAGGTAAAACAGAGAGAAACACAGCAGTTTTGATTGGAATAGCAGAGGTGTAGACCAACCCGCCTTTCCCATAACGCCTGCAGATTGGGATTTTGATTTTCCATCAATTTCCTCGCCCCCTTCCTATAAATTCCCTCGTTTATTGCTAATTAGATCATTCTTTGACCTAATAACATCATATTAAATATTCCTCCCCACATTTTCCTATATACTATAAGTTTGATATCAGTATATGGATAAATCGAGGTTCCCATGGTATTAAAAAAAATTGACAAAATATAAAAATATCAATAAAATGTTATTAATATATAAAATTTTATTGATATTAGTTAATATTAATTAATCATATTATGTAATAAAATCACATCAACTAATAAAAAATGGAGAAGAAATTATAAAAGTATAAAAGAAAAAACTAATTAAAAATTATATGAATCTAATCCATATTTATGTGGGTCCACRAAATAAGGAATGGAAATGAGATCTTAAGAGTGTAATGGGATTACASGATTACAAAGTTTGAGGTGCATCCCATCATTTGAATACATTTCTACAATTTGATAAATGACATCAAAGAGAATAGATGAAGGCTTGGTTTAAGATTGGTTTGGCCATTTAATAGTAGAGGAGCTGACAAGGAAGGATGGGGCAATTTCTCCCTTATTCAAAAAGTCTAAATAAAATACTTATGATTTTTGTAGTTTCTCTCAAAATTAAACATGTAAACTTTTGCGCCCTCCCTAAAAARAGTTTGGCTCTGCCTCTGCTTATTAATAAAATATTACAAATCTATCCATAAACCTAAATTAATTTCAACATTAGTAAAATATGATAACCCAACCCTACGTTATCGGTATCAAATAAGAATTTAATTTAGAACTAAATTCAAATAATTGGTTAAAACTAAATTAAAAATCTTGAATAATTCGGGAAACCTAAATATTGCAGATAAGAAGGTTACGTAATTTGATACAKTTCCTGGTTCCTGCACAATCTTAGATTTTGGAGATTGGAGGCCCAAAGTCCAAACAGAATTTGTTTATTGGGCCTGGGCCTTARGCAGATCGGCCCGGTCCAATGAGGACGACAACGTTATACAAGTTTCGCCATCATTTTCTTATTGTTATTTTTCTCTGGAGTTTTCTCGATTATTTTATCCCACTCAGCACACGTAATTGCAGTAAATCCAATAAAGAAAATAGTATATCTTAAAAAAGGGAAAAAAAAAAGAAAAAGAAAAAAAGGATGAAAAAATTAGGGGGTGTTCTGCTTTCATTTTCAGTTTTTTTCTTTGTTCCTCTCCTCAATGTCTTTTCCGAGGAGGTCGACAACTTGCTTAAACATCTCGAATTCCGTAACGAGCTTGTAAAATTGAGAGTCTTTAACGTCGGGTGGCAACAGGAATCGGCTCCTCATTTCCTTGAACTCTTCCCATTTTTCTTTTGCCTTTTTGGGATTATTCAGCAGCACTTGAATTATAGCCTGCCAAGTGTTTGAATAAATGCCAAAGCCAAACTACCGAGTGCATCACTAGTAACTTATTGAAATATAAGGTATTTTCTTACTTACTTGCAGAAGTTTAAAGCAGGATTAAACTAAGAGCATGATTTCTCATTTCTAAAGAAATTCGTAGCTATAGCACTGGACTTTCATTCATTCATTTCTTTTCCTAACAAACCTACATTTGCCCCCCCAACAGCAGTTCATGAAGTGCTCAAATGTTGGAGAATGAGAAAATGATGCTCTTACTACAAGCAAAAACTCCGATCTTCTTTTTTGCCCTTTTTCTTTTTTGGGGGTTTGAGTTTCTTTAAGTTGTTTTGAAGGTGTAACTTTTGATTGCAGTTTATCATCAATGGAGAATCAAAAGATGGAGAGAAGAAACGGATTTGAACCAAATTATGGTGGATTTTATGGACTCAACAAAAAATACCAACCCATCTACATCTACTCTGACTGGTCAGTGGATCTTCCTTCAATAAACCCAATCAATTTATCACTTTATCAATCTTAATTTGCCATATAGGAAAAGTTTGTTCTGTGATGGCACCATATTCTATACTTATAGTCCTTTTCTACAAGAAATCTATGAAATAATATACCTTATATAACGAGCGTCGAACATCTGAAGTTTCTTCTTGATTCAGGCATGAAGCCCTTTCAGCCTCCCCAATATTTCCCTATAATTGCATCAAAAGACAAAGTAGGAGATTGATTCACAAATTTGTTGTTCTTCCATGTCAAAGTTGAAGTAAATCCACAAGTATCTTCAGCATCATTTTGTCATTACATATAATTATGTACGAGTAACATCAGTAAAGAAGATATACATGGTTAGTTTAAAAAAATGTTCATATAACAAGTTTGTAAATTTCACTGCATTTGGCCTATGTTTTATGCATACAAGCTGATATTATTGGAACAAATAACAAGTTTGTAATGAGAAACACCTTGTAAATGAGCATTTCCACAAGAAGAATCTGATATTCATATTCATAGTGCAAAAGTGAATTCTCCTTGGCTTCCTTTGCTGCTTTTTTTAATATTTCAATAGCTTTGTCTTCTTGTCCTCTCATTTCCAGCTTTGCCACAATGCTCTTTAGCACATAAAGAAAGTAAATAAGCATCCAATTGCACAACTCATTTGATGCATGAATGAATTGAATGTCAATAATATGTAGTACTTTTCTGATAAATGATACAAAAGTGTTAAATGCTTAACCTGCAGCTTCGCGAAATCAGGAGCGCAATCTTTTATCATTTTCTCTAACTTCTCCAGAACTTGATCTTGATTTTTCTCGGTTGCTCGCATCTTTTGGTATTGAAGCAATCTTTTCATGGCTAGTTTGCCACCATGCAGAGCTCCAATGGACATTGATCTCATGAAAACACGTCGATCATTTTTCTCCCTTTTCCTCTGAGTATAGACATAAATCAACACGAGACCGATGCCCGAGATGATGACACTCGATGCTGCGGCTGCTGCTGATGTTCCATATTTGGTTTGAATCTTAAAACTTTTGAGGAAGTTTCTCATTATCAGTAGAAAGTCTCTTGCATCATCAAGTGAGAAATGAGGCATTCTGGGTATTGTGTCTCAACAGGAATAAAAAGAATTACCAATGTTGCTCCAAGAACAAAGACACCGAGCCCATGATGCGGGAATCGGGCAACCTGCGAGTATTATATAAGCTGATTTTGTATGTTGAAAGTATGGAACTTATGTAAAGGAAAGAATGATTCTTTGCTTCTGTTCTGCATTGTGAGTAAGGAAGCTAACATTTAGGGACTAGTTTTTATCGGGATCATTGTTTGATAGAGATGTTAAATGGTAGAATATTATACTTTGATATGATTCAAGTTTCTTCCTATTTCTCATTGAAATGTTGCTTAATTTTTGCAGTGCAGTGTCTGAAAAGCCTTTAAGTCAATTTATGTGTTTCTTTTATATATATGTTATATATCTGCAAAACCGTGAGATTCCCAACAGAGACAAAGGTTCAAGAGCCTTTGATAAAGTTTCAGTTAACTGGCTCTAAGTCGAGATGTTCCGAATTTATAATACTCTGTCTTGCTCAACACAGTGACCATCGAGTCCTACGCTGGTCACTATATTGCTTTGTCTAGACAACGAATTTCGATTATAGAGATCTACTAACATAAGTCACAAGACATCAGGAAAATTAAAAAAAAAATAATTAATAGAAATAGTAATAATAATACTCTGGCTTTACCGTGGTGTTGGAGTTATTTTATTTGTTCTTTTAATTTATTTTATAATCCCGAAAACAAATCTCATAAACAGACAAGTTAAATATGGTTAATTCTTTAATTTCAAGTTGTTATAATAAATAGCAACATCAACATCATAGATCACACAAGTCCATTTTCTATTTTCCTTTTTTCCCTTCTTTTTTTTCTTTTCATCCATAGGCGAGGATAAAATCTGTTGGAAGATACTTGTTCTAAAGGAGAGAGATCTTGCAAATCTTGAATATTGTTTCATTGACAAGAAAAGAATTTTTGGCGAGGAAAAATATTTTTCATTCATGAGAAAATAATTTTGATTGATAAGCTTTACATTTATACTCCTAATCATTGAAATCTTAAGATATGCCTTTCAAATTGTCAGATTGAGCATAGTTAAGTAATTTTGAATTTTTTTTACCATTTCTAAAGTCGTAAAGTTTAAATTTTTACTACTGTATTTACTATTAAAAAACGTTATATATATAGTATTGTTTGACAATAGAATATGATATAATATCGATATAGAGTATTGTTTTGACAAAGGAATATGGTATATGCGATATTTTACCGTTCAAAGTTAGTATAAACAAAAATAAAATGTGAGTGACGTACTCTTCATCTTTTACCATAATTTTTTAAATCCACCTATAAACTTGGTTTCACAACTCTAAGTTATAGAAACCTAAATGAGCTAATTCAAATAACAATTATGACTTATATTGTGACCTAATTTATATTATTTAAATATAATTGTTATCTAATCTATATATCAAGAGAAGTATATTGAAATAATTATTTATTTTTTGTAATATTAAAAATTAGGGTCTCCATAAATTCCCTCTATTTTTTAAAATAAAAAGAATGATTTGAATCGACTAAGATGTTCTCCAAGCTTTCACGATAAAATGATTGACGGCAAGTGATGAAGTTGAAGATAACCCTATTCGCTTTCCTCCCTTAGCCAACCTGTACGCCATAAGTTTATTTACATAATTGCCCCTCTCTTTTCTTTCCAACACTCTTCTAAGTTGACCATTTCCTTATTGTCACCAACCACATCCTCCCACGTCATCCACTTTATACACACAACAAATCTAGTGGTATGGAAGTCTTTTCATGCTACTTTGATTTACTCATTATTATTTTTTGAATAGGATAGTATTACTTTAATTTATTATTTTGTTATGTATCACCGTTTAAGAATACGTAGGGTCCATGAAACTTTTGTTGTATAATCAATAATGTAGTCTAATTTTAACTTAGGTAACATTTTAGTTTTCATATGGTTTAAAATTTATAACAGTTTCATCCTCATGTGAAAAAATTCATCAAAATTAAGTAACGATTTTTTTTCATAGGTAACAGTTTAGGCTTTGTAGTTTAGAAGCACGTTTGGTACCTCGTCATTTGATTGATCTATCTATGTAAAAAGAATCCATTAAATCATAACATTGTTCATAATAGAGACTAAATCGTTACAAAATTTATACTACAATGACTAAATTGTTATAAATTTAAAAGTATATAGACTAAATTATTAATTTAATAAAAAAGATAGAATGAAAAAAGTTTTTAACATTATTAAAAAACCCTATTATTAGACATGGAATTTTCCAATTTCCCATGTGTGCTAGTTTCTTAGCCTAAAAACATACCCCCACAAGATATATATATATTTTTTTAATAAAGTTTTCATGCGAATCATATCAATTGTGTTATCATTACTCAAAGAAAAATGAGTAACATGGAGGGGAAGTAGGTGCAAGTCAAAATTAAAAAAGAAATAGGAAACGCAAATCAGTTACACTTTAATTAAATATAAAATAATCAATCTCATCACAATTGGTACGTTGATTTGATTTTTTTTCTTTTTTACAAAAATTTGGGAATATCGAATATTAAACCTCCAATTTTGAAGAAAGGAGTACATTCGCATATGTCAATTACGGTTAGGTTATGCTAATGTTGACACATTGATTTGATTCTCTCTTTTTTATCCTTTTCTTCTTTCTAATTTTTACGTATCAACGAAGAAACAATTTAGATTTAAATAATGTTTTGGGCTATGAAAATACTTAATGGTGGTGAATTTGTCTTGGGTTCATCATCCTTAAATGTTTAAGGATTAGAAAAGAGAATTGCAAAGTTAATAGAGTTTCTTTTTCAAATGAGGAATTGTCAATTTTTCAATTACGGTCAGCATAGAGATAGGTCCATCGATAAAGACTCAAGTATTTTCCTTTGGTCTTTGTAATTTTTAATTTAGTTCTTTTTTTTTATGTTTTTTCAAGTTCATTTTAGTAATTATATTTTTAAAACGTCCCTCTTGATCACTATACTTTAAAATATGACAAATTTGGTTTTCATTTATAAAATTTTAACTCAATTTTTATACACAATGAAAAGCTTTAATGCAAATTTATGATTCATTTCAAGAAATTTAGTAAGTAAAATGTTATACTAAAATTATGATGGAAAGAAATAAGATAAAACAAAATGAAGAGACCAAAATAGTTTCTTTTTAAAAATGTAAGGACTAAAATGGATGTTTTTGAAAGTATAAACACAAAAATTAACAAAAGTTTAAAGTACATGGACTAAAATATTTAAAAATACATAGACCTAAATAAATCGGAACTGAAAATACATTACCAAAATAATATCTAAACCAACCATTTAAATACATCTTACAGCTTTTATATTCAAGCTCATGCATTTATGTGAGCTTAATTTGTTAATGCACATATTTCTTATTAGAAGGTCTCAAATCCCACCTGCATATTGTATTAAAAAAAATAAAAAAGAAGAAGAAGCTTAAGTACTTATAATTATTGGTTAGAAAGAAATAATAAATAAATAGAGAACTTATACCGTAATATTTTATAAGTATTGTTGATGCAGAAATTTGGCCTCCTAGAATTCCGCTAAATTTGCACCAATCTTTTAAAATAGAAGGGATCGACGAGACCTGCAAAACAGAATAGTACTAAAAACCGGTGTGGCTCTTACCACACAGACTCCGATGCTTAAATTAGAATCAGATTAGTTGAATATAGAGAATATGATATTTTGGCATACTTTTAGGGTTTGATTTACCCTTTTATTTAATATAGAACTGCTCGGTATAGAGAATACTGTTACGATTCTCAGCTAGGGGGGTCGAGAACTGCTCGGTGTCAAGCACTAGTCGGCCGAGGGCCGACTCGAGCAGTTGAGTGCCGACCCTCCATCTTGGTCTGTGTCCTTTTCTCGACTCTTTTTCGATCTTTTGTTGCCTCGCTGGATCTCATTTATCTCCCTATAACAAGTATCGATAAATATTTAGTATACATTTTAATATAATAGTGATGGACCCTCTCATTTTTTAGGTGTTATATTCACACAAAATGAAAAATCCCATCTTTCTTTTGGGACAAATTTCAAAGCCTAAACAAATGCCACTTACATTATTAGTGGAGTGGGCTTTTTTCGAGGAAAAAAAATTGTTGTACAAAAAAAAGAAAAGTAGATTAATAACACCAACATTAAATTTCTATCGACATGTCTGATACAGTAAAAAATGATAAAATATAAAAAATTTCAACACAATATCATCCATCTAGAAATCTTATTAATATCGATAATTTTTAACTTTGTGAAATGTTTATTGTTCTGAATTTTGTACATATTTTTTTTAGAAATATCAGTCGATGTTGGTATTTTGTCGATATTTTCATCAATATTTATGTAGAGTTGAGATTTAGACATTTTCGTCAACCTCGACGGTTAACATTTTGATTGATAAATAGATAATATGTGAATTATTAGAGTACTATTTGTACAAAATGAAAGAAATTATGGTAAGCCTATAATTGGTGTTAGTTCATTCTCTTCAATCATGCTTCTTTCCCCATCACGAGAGTGGGCATTCCACTCTACTTTGGTTTTCCTTTAATTTTTTTTAGGTCAAAATTTTAAACTCAAACATTCAATATCCCAAATAATTTTTTTTAAACGTCGATGTCATTTTATCCCACTCGTACTCTTCATCAAAGTCATGTTTCTCTCAATATGTTATTCTTATAATCAATGATGTTATCATTATTTTTTATATGTTATTATTAAGCACTCCTCCAAGACTTCATCGTTCAATCCATTGCACTCGTCTTATTGTTGAATCTGATTCTATGGTTGCAATTAAGTTTATTACAGATGAAATAACTTTTGTGGAGACGAGATTCTATGGATCTTTGAAATTAAGCATTTCATTGGTTCCTTTGATTCAATTTCTCTGTTGCACGTCTGTACTCAACACAATTGCAGACTCTCTTGCAAAAAATGCCTCTCAAAATTTGGTAACCAATAATTCTTGGTTGTGATTTTCCTATCTAGCTTAAAAGCTTTGTTGGGACTCATCGAACTACATCTTCCTTTTACTAAATTATCTTTCCTTTAAAAAAATCCTTATATATTATTATTATTTGTCATCCTAAATAATTTATCCCATATGGAAATGAAATTCACAAACACAAAGTGATTTAGTTTAAGATAATGTGATTGCCTCAATCGTCCATTGATGTACGAATAATCTAAAAATTTTGGATATTTTAATAATGATTTTTGGGTTTTTACTTTTAAAAGTTAAGTTTGTACCCAACCCCATTTTTTTTTTTTTTTTTTACTTTTCTTTTTAACTTTTACAAATAATATAGAGATTTTTTTTTTTCTTTTTTCATCTTGGTTTTATAATTGCCTCCAATCCCTCCCACTCAATTCTTCAAACATATTGTCCTCCTTATCCGAAAACTTGATTCCATTATTGTCCTTATGTTATCAGCACATCACTTCGACTAAATACTAGTTCCATTACTCAAAACATAAGAACTAAAATTTAAAATTTGTTTTGTCAAAATTTTTTTTAAAAATTTGTTAAACAAAATTTAGCATATATATTCATAAGTATGTCAATTTAAAATAAATAAATAAATAAATAAATATATATATATATATATATATATATATATATATATATATATACATACATACATACAAACAAGATAATATATGTCTAATTGATGGATATGTATGTGTGGGACAAACATGATGTATATTTTATGGTTAAGCAAAATTACTGAAATAGCAAAATTGGTATTTTTGAGGTTAGGAAGTTCGCATCACTAAGATTTTTATTCTAAAATTTAGATTGCAATATTTGCAATTACCCACTCTCTCTCTCCCATTTGATATTCCAATTTCCATCAAATCCAAAAAATTTGTTCTTTATCTCTCTCTATAAACCAAAATGAATGAAATTACTCAGAGAAGAGCATAATTTAATAGTTAATTTAGATTCGTTTTCCTTTAATTTTAACATCTTTTCTGCCGATTTCAACCATAAATAGAGTGGTTAAGATGATGGATAGTAATGTCTCTTTTATAGACGGTAGATTCTCTTTATTCGTAATATAATATTATAAGAAAATACTAATCTCTTCATTAATCTTAATTAAATATTCTTAATTTATATTGCTTGAGGAGTTGTCAAATTAGTATTTGTTAATAATCAAAGATAGCTATGCATTTGCCTGATCCGTATGTGGCCATTATAATTTCTGTCGTTGTGATCCCAAGCTCTGATGCTCTTAAGCATGGGAATATATGATTTTTTAGATAACTTTAAATAGGGATATTTGCAAATTGTATTTCTTTCCTTGCAACTTTTGCAATTCTATTTTTTTTTATGATTTCAAATTCCTTTATATATAAATATTTTTTTTAAGAAAAAATTCCTTTATATATGATTCTAGAAGAACTCAAAATTATATATATATAAATAATATTCTTCATCTTTATTTTTTAATGCAACACATGGTATATATATAATAACTAATGTTTTTCATCGATGCGGGATGTATCAATTATTGTTAAGCTATGCTCGTTTTGGTACTAATATTCTTCATCTTAAGAAGTCTTCTAAAATAATGACTACAGTTGCAGTTCAATTCAGAAAAAATATCAAACCTAGCTAAAAAGGATCTAATACAGCTAAAAGATTGAGTTCACATACTTAAAAGTCTCATCTCGCTGTAAAAACAACTCTTCTTTATAAAATTGAAACTCGACCAATTGAAGATATTAATTTTGTGGAAGATGTGAATGGGTGGTCCAGAATAATATCATCAATTTTTTTTGGGTGACACCAATAAATAATTCATGTGGGCTTAGGTACAAAAATAGACAATATCACAATCTACCATGTTGTGGAAATATGGAAAGAACATTGTCCTACTCCAACCAAATTTTTACTTATTTAAGTTCATAATTTAATTTGGGTAAATTTGACTCAGCTTTGAGTCAGAAAAAAAAAATTCTCTGAACATTTTAATTACAACCTCATTTATGACGTAGTTTCTAATATTTAAATTTTGAAGCTGTCATGGAAATGAACCAAAAATTAACATTGATTTTCACTAAGCAGCAAATATAATGACCTAATTTGGTTCACCAAGGCATCCTTCCTTTGCTTGCTGCATCCAATAAACCCAATTTTGACCCTCGTCGTTGGATTCAAAGCTTCTTTCGTTAATTTTTATTTTACAAATTAACCTTTTTTTTTCCCACTTTGATGTAATTTATGTTAATTTGAAAGTCTATAAGTTATAAGAAACATTATTTGTGGGTATATTGGATGCATCGTATCTAGGTTTGACTTCTTAATTTTAGATTATATGAATAAAACATTATTTTGATTAAGGCATTAAAATCATTTGTCATTTAAAAACTTTTAATTTTTTTTTTGGGAGTATTACAATTTAATCAAAGATAGAAATTTATTCCTATGACCTATTACGAAAAGTATTAAGGTATTGATATACGAGTTAATGCTATACTCATGTTAAATTCTTCAACTTATTTATTATTATATAAACGTTTCATTTGTTGGATTGATGATAAAGATTTCGTGAAGATATAAACATCAAACGAGAATAACGTAGAATTTTTCATATGAATCGTAACTGAGCGTGACGTTTATTATTGTTTTATGCATAGGGGGAGGTTTGTCTTGTTTGATAAATCTAATATTGAATGATCCGTTTAGACCATAGTTTCCAATGCATGAATTTCTTTGGAGAAGTCAGTATTACCTGTAAAGCATGAAACCGCGGAAGTTTTTTAGTTTCTTTTATGGTATTCTGTTGACAGCAAAATCACACCCCTTATTTCCTTAATTGAAGATTTTGAAAATTAATTGCAAAATCAATCTCAGAATTGACCTCTTCATTTTCCTTTATAATATAAAATGGCTCGACACTCCTTCCATTTTATTGCTCTCTTTATTGAAAACCACACCCTCTATTTCCTTAAAACTTTTACCCCATGATTATTCAATAATAATTATATTTCCTTTAAAAAAAATATAATAATTATATTTTAATAAACAATATAATTTGTAAACGTGACCATAGTTGCATGTCTCTAAAGTTTTACTTTTGGTTCCACCTAAAATGTCTCATAAATACTAGAGATAATTATCCAGATATTTATATAACATAGATCATGTTCTTCTTAGTCAATGTAGGATTTTGTTTGCATTATTTACTTGGTCAAAAATTTTAAAAATATAGAAGTATTTAAAAAAAAACCAAAATTCAGAAGTATTTTCCGTAATTTAGCAGAGTGGGGGCAGTACGCCCTCTTGATTTTATTATTATTATTATTTTGTTTTGCAAAGGTAGGCCGCCCTCATTTTATTTTGCAAATAGGAACCGCCCTCTCGAAGGTATAAATACACAGCAGACGGAAGCCTTCTTCGGTCTATAGTTTATAACGCTTTGCCCAAGTGTTCTTCTTCTTCATCATTCCTCCAATTAAAATCAAAACCCTTTAAAATCTCATTGCCCTCTCCAATTCCAATTCCAATTCGAATTCCATTTTGTTGATCCGCCATGGTTGTTCTGTCACAGCCAGCATTGGAGTTGGACCACAATTCCCTTCTACGAACATGCAGAGCCACCGCCTCCTCCGCCGATATTCCCGAAATCGACCTCTCCCACGCCGACGCCAAGTCCCGCATCGTCAAGGCCTTCGAAGAATTCGGATTCTGTAAGCTCATCAACCACACAATTCCCATGGACTCCATTACTAAACTGGAACAGGAAGCTCTCTGTTTCTTCAAACTTCCCCAATCGGAGAAAGAAAAATCTCTCCCCCCCGACCCTTTAGGCTACGGCAGCAAAAACATCGGCCCCAATGGCGACGAGGGCTGGATTGAATACTTCCTCCTCAACGCCAATCCTCTCCCCATTCCCTCCGGCAACCATCAATCTCTGCTGTAAGTTCCCGAACAGAGTCCTCTGTTTTTCTAGAATTTTATTTATTGGGAAATTTTAAGTTTGACATTTTGAGGGCGTGTGCAGCGCCGCCGTAAACGAGTACGTCCCGGCGGTGAAGAAATTGGGGAGTGAAATCGTGGAGCTGATAACTGAAGGATTGAATGTGAAGGCAAGAAACGCGGTGAGCAGGCTTCTGAACGACGAGAAGAGCGACTCGTGTTTCAGAGTGAACCACTATCCGCCGTGGCCGGAGGAGGGAGCAGCCATGGGCGCGCGGAACTTGCTCGGTTTCGGGGAGCACACGGACCCACACATAATATCGCTGCTGAGATCGAACAACTCGGCGGGGCTGCAAATCCGGCTGCGAGACGGCGCGTGGGTGGCAGTGCCGGCGGACGAGGCGGCGTTCTTCGTGAACGTGGGCGACGCGCTGCAGGTGATGAGCAACGGGAGGTTCAGGAGCGTGGTGCACAAGGTGGTGGCGGGGGCGGCCAAGGAGAGGGTTTCGATGATTTATTTCGCCGGGCCGCCGCCGAGTGAGAGGATCGCGCCGCTGCCGGAGGTTTTGGGGGACGGGGAAGAAAGCTTGTACAAGGAATTCACGTGGTGGGAATACAAAACGGCGGCGTATAAGACCAGATTGGCTGATTACAGGCTGGGTTTGTTTGAGAAGTGAACATTTACTGCAGGTTTTGGGTTTTGACCCTACACTTAAATCCCCTTCTTCCTTCTATAAATGAATCGAAAACTTTTTATTTTATTTTTAAAAAAGCGAATTAATGCTTTTTCTTTCTCTGAACTGTTACTTACGCTTGCGCAATGTCTGTAATGTAAATAATGAGAGTTTCAAGTTTGCAATTTACTGGTTTTTATTTATTATTATTATTATTTTTTATTTTTTTAACAAAATTCTGAATGGTATATATGTACGTACACACATATGAATTATTACCGATAAAAGAAAGTTAAAAAGGAAAATAATTGGAAGTGTTTTTTCTTTTTAGAATAAATATAAGTTGAAAACATGTTAAGTTTATTAATTTAAAAAATTATTGATGTTTCTTAAAAAAAAAAAAAGACACTTTTGATTGAGTTGAGATTCAGTGTCTATTTGGTCTTGAAATATTTTAACTTTAGAAATAGTTCTAAATAATCCAGTGTAATCTAATAGAAATTTATACGGCAATGACACTTACATGAGATAATATATTAATTTTATAATATCTTCTGGATGCCTAACGATCCTATATTTTGAGTGCATTATTTTTGTTTCACACTTTTGTTACCTCTTCTTCCCGCACCTTTTCCTCGAAATGAGAAAGAAGATGGTATACTCAAATTGTATTATTTAAGTGCTTATTGCTAAATAAGTGTTTTCTGTGATTTTTCTATGTTAAAACTTTGGTGAATACAATATTAATATTTATTAATCATATAATTACTACAGTTTTTAATAGGTGAAAAAATGCTGCCTAAATGATCCTTTAAGAAGATTTTTAGTGTATTGGGGTCCAACTCTTTTGAGGAAGAAGAAAAAACATAGATTTTAATCAAACAACCAAATTTAATGGTAAAATAGTTAGATGTCCCTTTGAGGATTTAAATCAAGACAATTATTTTCAGACAAATAAATCAAGACAATTATTTTCAAACAAATATATGTGTCGAATATTTAAGTCTGAATTTCATTTGAATAAACTTTTAAAATACTACTCTAAAAGTTTCTCAAATTTAAGAACTTAACAAGTTTTACTTGTGGTATGTTTATATACAGACTCCTCAAAATAAAGAGAGTAATTAAAATAATTATTTTAAAATTTTGTTTAAAAATTATGATAGATATTTTGAAAATTGAGAAATGAAAATAAGATCAATTTAAAAATTTAAGTATGAAAACGAATATTTTTAAACTCTAAACTAAAATTTAAATCTATAATTTAATTCAGGTGGCAATTCTTGTTTCACAAGTAAATGGAAGATTGTGGCTATCTCGATTCAATTATGTTTACGTGGTCGACGTCAAGTTTTAATTTCCACTTTCTTGTATTANAAAAATCGTATTTAATGACGTACTTGAAGGTTGAATTCTCCAAATTAGTTACGATTATTTATTTATTTATTTTTCTTTTTGCAAAGGTAGTTACGATTCTTACGAAACCTTTGTTTGAATGTTGTTCTACCTTTGGAATACGTCAATTTTTTATAAATAACTTGTTGACTATAGTACTTTTTTTTTTAATTTGTTTGTTCAAATGTCAGAAACAAACAAATAACATTTTACATTATCACAATTTTTTTATGTGAAAAAACTTAATTTTTTTTTTCAAATTTCTTTGGTTTGTGGATATACTTTTTAGAATGAATAAAAAAATTCATATCCTAGTAACTTCTAAATAATACTAAACGAAAAAAGAATCGACGTTTGGTTTTGAAATTTGAGATTTGTGTGTTTAACCATCTGTTGTCTAATCTGAGTCTAGTTTGGGCTGATATCACGATCGAAAAAAATATTTTATTTTACCTTTTCCTTGAAAAATATCATAAAAATTAAAATAAAAAATCAAATCATTAAAAAATGTAAATGAAAAATAATACTTTTTTTAAAAAATTTATATCTACATATTGAAACCAGATTTTTAATAAAGGAAAACTATGTTTAGTAACTTTTTTTTTATTGAAACAATAACTTGGTAACCATTTCTTTTTTTCTAAAATTTTAAATTAAAAAAATTAAATTTTTATATGAAATTTAACTTTTTAAATTAAATATTCAAATTTACGGTTTTATTAATATTTAAAAAAAATAAGGAGAACTAGAAAGAAAAAAAAATCTTATTTTGTTAGTTTCTAAATTTTTTTATTATTTTAGAGGACAATAAAAAACAAACGAACATATACCAAACATTTATGTTTTTCGATAACTATAAACAAGAATCAAGATATAAAAAACGAGAATATTATTTAATGAACCCTTATACCTTTTATCTTTTCTTCCTACATTTACCGACCTAAGAAAAAAGGGTAAATTTTTAAAAAAAGAAAACTGAAAACAAAAACTGAAAAATATTTAAATTCCTTAAAAAAGTAGGAAAAAAAATGAAAGATGATCTTGTAACATGGTTTTAGAAAAATCCAAATCAAGTTTCAAAAAGTAAAAATATACTTTTTGTTATATATATATATATATATAGATTTCTTTTTGGTTCTTTTAAAAATTTTAGTTAGTATTTTAAAAATAAAATTTAGCAACTAGATTACAAATTACAAATTATTTGTTAGCAGACTACCAATTTTATTTTTAAAATAAAATCTTTATCAAACAAACTTTTAGGTTAACCTTTAACATCAATCATTTGAAACTTTTTGTGTAGGACTTCCAATTCTTCTTCGCCTAAACGTGCCACTTTAATTTATCTAGGTGGTCATATTATAGATAATATAGCATTTTTCTTCTCAAATTACTTTTTTCTTTTTTCTTTTTTTTTTTTAGAACTTTTTCTTCTCAAATTTCAATCATATATTTATTATTTATCTTCATATATTTATCATGAACCTAAATTTGGCAGAATATAGAAATTTTGATGTTAATAATATGTTAAAACTATATTATAAGATTTATACGTAACATGCACCATCAACTTAAACTTTTAAATTTAAGAGTGATTTAATTGCAGTGTTAAAATAAATATTTACACATATACAACAATAAGATTTCTGTATGATCTTAGTATTGATATGGTATATGATCTATTTTAACCTCGTACACGCATAGACTTGTTTATGAATTCTAACCAAATAGCACATACACAAATGAAAAACGTATTCTCATTTATTTATAAATAATATATATTCCCTAAACATTGTATTATTTTATACTCAAATATGACTATCTCGAGAATATGTGCGAGGTGGATCAGATAGAACTATTCATAATGAAGCGTGTGAGAGAAGAACTACACAAAAAGAAAGAACACTCAAACGCTGAAGTTAGTAAGAATATGACATATAGATCTTGAGACAAGGAATCAAAATTACATGTCTGCGTATGAGAGTGAATTTCCATTTATAGGAGAAAGTTGTTTTTAGAAATCAATTACACGATTACCTACAATTGCATGAGATACCTCGACAGTAGCCTTACTATTTTAGAGTAACTCTTAGCTCGACCATGTACAAGATTATTTGGAAAAAATGTCACTTGAGGTGGTCTTTCCTTTTGTATTTCACGTGGTAGGTCATATTTTACCCTCCAAAAAATATTAGTATTTCTGGATTATCCGAGGAGATTTGTAAACACAACACATATATATAAAGTAAATTTTTATACACTTTTAAATTTAAGCATTAATTTATTATAAATAATTGTTAGATTATATAAATTATTCTATCCTTGAAAAAAAAATCATTTTTCTCTCTCTTAATTATCACATATTTAAAAGATAGTAAGAACAAAATTTCTATTTATGAGCGAGGGAGCCATATTTGCTCAAAGGTTAATTACATATTATGTTTTAAGTATGGATAAATAAATAAATAAAAGGAAAAAATGTCAGCTTTTGACAGACAAAGAAGACTTCTGAAAGTGGGTTTCTTTTTATTGGTTATTGTGCTCGGTCAACCGTCTTAAGCAACTTGTCCAGGTCGTCTAAATGTCATCCAAATTTTAGGGGTTTTTTCCCCTTTTTGATTTAATTTACTGTTGAACCCCAAGTAATAATTTTCTTATTAAAAAAAAAAGGGATTGTTCTGAATAGTCTATATTAATGGATCATCTTTTTGTTTTTTATATTCTATTTTTGAAAATTAAGCCTTCTAAAGGCTCGTTACATAAGTTTCTTTGTTTTGTTATATATTTTTAAAAATGTTTAAAAAAAATACTAAAAAATGATATATTTCATTAATAACGACTCTTCTTATAAATTGCTCTGAATACAAACTACGTAAGATTTAAGTATTAAAGTTTTTAGTAATGTTAGCCGGAACTTCGACCAACATCTCGTCCTATGCCTTGTTGGCCCAGCATCTTGCCTAATGTATCATGAGTTGAAGAGGTCCAAATAGTTTTTAATTTTTAGCTAAAAATTTAAATGTGTTTTTAAGAAAGGTGATAAGCATATAAGAGAAATTGTGAAAAAGCTAGTATAATTTTTTTAAAAAATAACTAAGAACGAAATATGATGTGAAACATTATATAGTTTTAGGTTTGAGTTTGATTTTAATTTTAATTCATGAATTATTATATCTATTTCGTTAGGATTCTCAAATTCAATATACTTGAGTCCCTACGACTTTATTGAAAATCATTTTATTTCAATAGGTTTTCTTCCTTAACTGTTTACAAAAGTTCAATTTTCTTTTCAAAATGCGACTCTTAAATTAAGGGTAAATTATAAGATATAAATTAAAAGAAAAAAGAAAATAAAACAAAAATACTTATATTTTTGTTAGATAATTTATGAATAACATATTGTTGTATGAAAAAAAAATTAAACACTAAAATAAAAGATTTATATCAAAAAAAAAAATTTACATAATTTATAGACGAGGGATGGGGAGATTTGCGAGAGCAAGCGACCTAGCATTTGAGTTTAGCTTTTATTTGTTTATTATTTATTTATTCTTTATGACACAACATTGATGATATATATTGATCAGATGTTAGCGTGGTATAGTTCAATAGGTCTCACATGTTGTATTAAAAAAATCGTAGCTAGTGTGACAAATCTAATAATGATAAAATTAAATACACCAAATCATTTT